GAGGCATGCTGGGATCTCGAGATAAATGCTAACACAGGAGTGATGTGCTAGGAGAGAAGAGAGGTGCTAGCAAAAGCACTCAAAGCAAAAGAGGGCAAGAGAAGAGAAAAAAGGAAACAAGGAAAAGCAAGATAAACAGAAAGCAACTAAAATAGAAAATTTAAACTCAAACATGTCATTAATGTTTAACAAGAGATGTTTAATCTAACCACATAACTTAGCCAAGATTTGGATCTACACTTCACTACAACTTTTTTTCTTTTTACTTAAGATTCTCTTCTGTTAGTCTTAAATTGTTCTTACAAGTGTCATATATTCTTACAAGTGTCATATATTCTAAATAAAAAATAACTGTAAGCTTAACAGGAAATATTAAAGTTCTTATTTTAATATCATCAAAATATTAAAAACACGCCATGAAGCACACACACATACACAGAATATTTTAAAGGACATCATACAACTTCCATTAAACAAACTGCTATTCTTGACCTTGAGGAACTTAGGGAGCTAAGTGCAGAAAGAAACATGAAAAGTAAATAGCTCTGAAGAGCATCTGATATTCCAAATATTCCAGAGACACTTTGTTCAGAGAAAAGGACAATTTTCATTATTGGTGACTCCAGTTAGAGCCTTCATCATCAGTGTTACTGCCACTCTGTTTAAGCAGTTTTTCACCTGTGATATGCAGAAAAATCACCAGGCCATCTTTTAGGAGCTATCAATGCCTAGGCCCCATTCCAGGACAAATCTAAATGGAATCTCTTGAGTGTATGGGACTCTTGGCATTTTTAAAAACTGTCCTCAGATAATTCTAATATGTTGCTAAAACTTGCTCAGGGCAATGAAAATGTTACCTCCAGATACACATGTATAGGTGCCTGCCCCCTCACCCTCACTGTAAAATATTCAGCAGAGTAAAGATATTCCCTGAGATGTTTAAACACATACCTGTGCTTGTACATCACCCTTTTCAGCCAGAAACTGGTAATATTGAATCAAATCTTCCTCTAGCATTCCACTATTCATTCCTGGATTTTCCACTTCATCAGGCAGCCGAATTCTCTGTACTACTGAGCCTCCTGTTAGCGAGATATCACTAGCAACTGAAGCGGGGGATAAAGTAAAGATCCGGAAGAAAGTCAGAAGGATTGGCCTGCAGACAGTATTAAAATTCCAGATGCCAAATACTTCTATAGCAGCCTACATCTTACAAAATAGTAATCTATTAATAACTCATATTTTTCCACAAAATATTTACTTAGCAAGAGTAAGGTGGGGTGTGGCAGCTCACACCTGTAATCCTCTGGGAGGCCGAGGAGGTGGATTGCTTAAGCTCATGTGTTCAAGACCAGCCTGAGCAAGAGCAACACCCTATCTCTATTAAAAATGAAAAACTGAGGCAAGAGTTATTGCTTGAGCCCTAGAGTTTAAGGCTGCTGTGAGCCATACCACAGCACTCTTCGAGGGCGACAGAGTGAGACTCTGTCTCAAAAAATAAAAAATGAAAAAAATGCATTGTTCAGAAAAAAAGAAAAAAATAGAACTCAAAACAAAATTAAAGATAAAAGTAACTTTTAATCAACCATTTTAAAGATGAATCCATTTAAGAGAGCCATTTGGAATATTTCAAATAAAAATAAATGTACTTAAAATTAATTCTCTATCTTTTTCCCTCAAATGTGAAAGTGGAAAGCAGATACCGTGATTGGCAACAAGACGATAATGAGTCAGTGCAGATTCACAACTCTGGAGGACTCCAATGCCTGCCCAGTATCGGTAACCCTGTAAAACAACTTAAGATGAGACAACAGAAGTTTCACATGTTTCAGTGGCACTATTTTTTAAACAAATAAA